ACATTCATTCCTGTGCTGAGTGCTTTACTCAAGTCATTTCATTTAATCCTATGAGGCATTTTATGAATGAGGAAACTCGGGCTTGCTAAGCAACTTGCCCAAAGTTACATGAGTGGCATGAGATGGAGTCCTAATTAGAACCAGGAGGGCTGTTCCTCTCACTCATGTCACAGTCTGCCCCCTTTTCTCCCTTATAGAGGCCTACATTGAATTATTGCTTATATGCTTGGGCCTTATTTTATTAGACAGTATACTCTTGGAGGGCAGGATCTAGTGAAATTCATCTTTGCACACTCAAGGAACATACTTTGGGTACTCTAAGTACTTTTAGAAAAACTGAATAAATGGCCTCTTATCAAGGAAAGAATCAATGCCTGACCCAATATACCGCATAAGTAGCAACCATTGATCTTTGCCAAAGAAACTACATCTGACTCTGAATCATACTGGGGGACACACTTAGAAAAATGGGAAGCCTTTTATTCTTTTTAGGATATATTATTTATGTCCTTAAAATCATTCTAGAACTTTCTTTAAAGTCATACCATAAGAATAGAATAATCTACCAATGGACACAGACAACAGGAAGGTGAGGGCATGAGTGGGGGGGATGGGGAGGTAATGTGGGGATAAGGACACATATGTAATAATCAATAAAGAAATTTTAAAAAGAATGGAATAATCTTCCATTTCATGTTTGCTTAACTAATTGCTTCTTTTTCGAAAACTGAGGGACACTCAAATCTGTCCTAGAGCTTCTGAAACAAGTCAATAAATGACAAAGGAGAGACCAGTCAATGTGTCCCTGGGAAGGAAGCACTGTAAGTGACTTAGCCTGGAAGGTGTTCTTTAACATAATGGGATCTGCTTATCACGCAGGTAGAAGGGAACTGTAAGCTGCTCCACCTGACCTCCTAGTGCAAGCCAACTGGTGACACAGCCTGACCACCAAACTGGGAGCAGGGTCCCCTCAACAGAGCAGAGAGGATTGATCTCCTTTCCTGATGGAAGAGTAGAGACTAGTGGCAGCTCCCTCCCACTGGGGCTTCTATTCTGTGTATCTAGCGAGGAGAATTGGCCTAAGCTGGAATAATGATAATAAATAAGAGGATGTCCACTTACAGGTGTTCACAGCAGGGCAAAGCTCACAAGGAGTACCCCAGGCTTTCCCCAGAGAACAGCAGCAGGATGCTTTGGAAACACCCACTCCGATTTCATTGCTACAGGCAGTATCTCCATTGTCTCCTCGAGGTCGAACATCCAAATAGCAATTTCCAGAGCGGGTATCTATTTACCATACACAAACAAAAAAGTGTCAGGCAGATTCTTTCTATGTGGAGGCTGAAAATTTAAATCCATTTCAGAAACTATTTAAAAACACAAAATTTATTTTTACAGAGAAACTAAATTGGGAATTTATCTACAGAAAAGGAATCTGAAAGTATTTCACAAATTTAGGAAATGTTTACATTTTCATATTATTACTTTTTTTTAAAAAAAATTGAGAATGTAATGTTCAATGCTGCTTTAAAAATAACAAACAGTATGCTTCTCTGAAAAGTTTTAAGATCTTACCGACACAGCCAACTCGAGTCGGATTCAGCTCAAAATCAGGTGGACAATCACAGGTATAGCTGCCTGGAGTGTTGATACAGTTCCCACTGATACACGTGGTTGGATCCAGACATTCATTAACATCTAAAATCAAACAGCAAGGGGCAGAGTTGTCACAAGAGCCAATGTGGGGAAGACATTACCATGAAATAGTAGCACCCAAATCTAGGGCTCCCAGTGAGAATTTTCTAAGAATTACTCATTATAATTACACCTAGAAATACAGTCTTCTACTTGTGAAATACAACCCCTCAGGAAGGAAATCTGTCATAGTCTTTGGTCTTTTTTCCTCTGGAACACATTTAGCATTCAAATTTGTCATCAGGAGAAAATATGACTTTGGAACTCGGAAAAATATTCCAGTCAAGGTAACTGAAAGCAAAACACGACTGTGACCTCGGTCAACCAGAAATTCAGACACAGGTTTTAAGAAAATGTATGTAATATGTGTGGCTTGTTATTTCATCAAATTAGAGTAAGATGTCCCAGGGAACCCTCAGGAGCAGGCACTTCTGCTGCTTCCTCCATTGGCTGTGCTTGCCTCGTTGCAGCCCAGAGTGAGCACACACATGCACGAGGCTCAGCGTTTCCATAAGGCCGCTAAGAGTCTCTCTCCTGTCACTGATGCTGGTTTGAGGATTTCCCTTTCAGTTTCTAGTCTAAAATTATGTACAAAATTCCAGATACTTAGGACATGAGTTTTGGCAAATTCCAACTCTGTATAATCCTTTAGTTTGTGTTGAACACTCACAAAATACTCAAGATCAGATAAACAGGGATTCAGAGAGGAGAGGTTGAAGGGTGAGGATGGTACCTCCTCCTTGGGACCTCCCCCTTGGACCTGGAACCTGTAGCAGAAAATGATTTTGCTCAAATTTCATGGGAACTTGGAGGGACAGGGCAGACTCACAGAAATGAGGTTGGACAGAATGATGCTGATGGCGATTTGGGGCACTGAGGAGAGGCTATGGTATGTGGAGAGGCAACTTCCTGTGTTATGCTAGAAGCCCAGCTTGGTGTCCTAACTGTCTTTAGGAAAACCAAGAGAAGATTGTGCCTAGTGCAGAGCAATCTGGGGACGAGCCAAGGGCGGATATGCAGTTTATGGTCATAATCTGGAGAGCCACTGAGTCATGATTTGTGAAGGTTGCTGGGAAAATCTCTTTCTTCCTGATATCCTGAGCCCATACAGAATGGGACTGTTTCCTCAATATCCCTGAACAAAGGGTAGACTAGGATGGAGAAGTGCAAATGGCTTTCAAAGTCTTAACTCAGTGCCAAAGCGAACAGAGTAACAGTCTACGGGCGTGCTCATAGCTTTTCTCATGTATTTCATGTGTTCCCAGAGAGTCCTTTGCTCTACATGAAGAGGATCGACACACTACAAATGGGTGGCTGAGTACCACATTCTCTGGTGACCACTGGCAGGCCAGGGCTGACAAGGAGTGAGTAGGGCTTTGGAGAAGACAAGGAGAAAAGCCATGATCCCGTGGCCTTCAGAAGGAAACTCTGAAACTGCACCCAAGGAGAAAAGGAATGGCCGGGAAGCCTTACAGCTGGAGCACCCCTGGCACATTCTCTGTATCACAGCTTGATTCTGAGATTATAAGCTCTGCTCCTTCAGCTGCCTTCAACTCTCTGGTCTGGATCCTCATGTCCAATCAGTTCCAAGTCTCAGAAAATGTATTCTGTGATCCCTAATGTTTCATCCCAGCTTTTTATTTGTGACTCTGAATATCCTTGTGGAATCCCAGCAGGGCCCCAACAGCCAAGTCCCCTGGCACCCCTGGAAGCAAATTTTGCTGCCAATGGACACCTTACCTGTGCAGTTCCCGCCACTTCTGTCCAGTTCATAGCCAATCTCACACTCACAACGGAACAGGCCAGGAAGATTGTGACAAGTTCCAAAAACACAGATGTTTGGAAGGGAGCACTCATCAATATCTTGGAAAGAAGTAAAAAAAAAAATAATTAAATTAATTTTTTACTAAAGAAACTGCCTAATATAATTCATCAACTAATGTTATTAGGAAAATCAGGACTAGCAGACATAAATGTAGGCACTTCTATTGACTTTTAGATGACTTGCTATGAGTAGGGATGTCTTTTAGGTGAGAGCTTACTTTTTCTCAGCCTCTATTACATGCCAAGCAGTGCGCTAAGCATTTTACATATATTATCTCATTTATGGTGTTTCACACAGGTCCACTTAACTTTGTAAAGAGCCAAAAAGACCACATTAGCCTAAATTATTATTATTTTTAATCTATTCATTTACAGTTTTCATTGTAGGTTAAAATTTTGAGAATCACAAAGGCTTTGTGGTAACTTTGATAATCAGTTTTCTAACCCTCTGTATCCCCATGTCATGTGTTTGCTATTGTTGATGGAGATCTAAAAACTGCAGACACTTCTTCTAGGCCTCTGCCCCGGCCTCACATTAACATTCTGCTGGTATAATTGACACACGGGCACATTTTCAGCCTTGAGACTGGTTTTAAATAGCCATGACCACTCTGCTAGGGATGATTTATATTAAGAACAAACAAACAAACAAAACCTTCCCTTGTAGCATTAAGAGAAGCAAAACTTTGAATGCAACTATTTATGTTACCAGAGGTGGCACAGTACCTGTTTTCCTTGGATGTTTGGAATAACAAAATTAAACAAGGCATTAGGCACATAACCAAGAGCATAATCTAGTTTCTTGACTCAGAGGAATTTTATATCAAACTTTGCATATTAATATAAACTGTATAAAGAACACCCAATGATTCCATAACAAAGTATTTATAGAACTATATGAGGGAATTAGTATACATGTCATAGCTCAAGATTGATTTTGAGTTAATGTCCTATTAACAAGCAACAACTATTAGTTAAGAACATTAGTCAGCGTCTTGTTTAAATTTCTATTGTCAATTGTTATCATTTGTTTATTTCTCTTGAAATCTTTTTAGTTCACTGTAGCGACTAATTCTTCTCAATGAGGGACAATGCGCTTAAATTTCACATGTGTAGGCAAAGAGAAGAATCCCGTGTCTTCTAGTGGGATCCATCCTTAGCCAACAGGCTCCCAGGGCTCTTCCTGTCTGACCAACACTTATCAGAAAGACAGAGGCTTGTGCTGAAACATATCATGACCTATGACATTACCCCAAAGGGTCTCCTACAGGCCAGATTTGTAAAAGACATTTAGAGACCATGTGAGACGTACGGACCCAAGACATTATTCTACGTGGAAAAGACTATCTGCTCGCTGCTATTTTAAAGCTTCTATTTCCAGAAGCCAAACCATAGCAGAGACTCAAAACTGTGTTTCTATATCTAAAGAGAATCCTTCAATAGGCTTATTCCCAGGGGACCAGCACTTTGCGTTCTTTCCCCCAGCAATGGGGACAAATAGATTGCATTGAGTTAAACACACGTGGTGACCTCTTCTCACCTATGACCAACAAGTGTACTGTTGCAGACTATCTGGCCAAGGTTTTGAATATGAAGCTTATGGCCAGAGAAGATTTTCTCTGCATAAAGAAAAATGATCTGGCTGGAGACTTAATCCCTCCACAAACTGAGTTGATGAGGTTGAAGCCGAAACACATTTCAGCTAAAAAATAAAATCAGGAATGTGTAAATAACCTAATCTCATCAGGCCTGCAAGGCTCCCAGCAGCCTCCCCATCGGTTACCTTCGCAGGCTTTCCCGTCAGCACTGGGCACAAAGCCCATGTCGCATTCACAGCGGTATCCTCCCGGGGCGTTCAGGCACTGGCCATTGCCGCACAAGTTCAGATTCTCAGAGCACTCATCCAGATCTGCAGCCAGAAAGAAACACAAGTTACTCTTTCTCCATTAGTTTTCCCACTCCTCGGGTTCGACAATTTTTATAATTGTCAGCTTCCTGAGTGTGGTGGTGTTTGGTCACACTTTGTCCTTGACACATTTAAATTCACTTTTGAATGCTGATATTGAATTCTGTGAACCTGGTGTTCAGATGCTAAATCATCACTAATGACGTAAAATGAATAAGTTAAACAAATCATTCCAACCAAGGATTTTTCCAGCAGAATTATCCACATGAAGACACATCCATGGCAGGAAATAACATAGCATGGTTTTTGCCTGTTTTTCAAATTTCAGGTTCAGCGCAGAGGGGAAGCAAACGAGCTAGAACAACAACGATAGAGGACACCAAAAATTCCCATCTGCTTAATCTTACCGAGTTTTGTTAATAATCATGGGCATCAAATATCAAACACAAGAATCATATGTGCCTGATACATGAAGCACTCAATATTTTCTAAAAAGTAATAAGAGGTTTATGCTGACAAAACTTCACCGGGTTAGGCAAAAACAATTTCAAGTATGATACAACTTGCAGAGAGTTAAAAAGAACTCAGGTAGATCACTTACTGGGCCCTTCCTCTTTTTTTGTTTGAATGACTTCTTCTGAGCAAAGTGCTCAGGATAAATTAACACTTCAAGTCATGTGAGCAGCTATGCTACATAGTATAGTGGTCAATGAGAAATGGATCTCGGTATCTTATTTAATACCAAAGCCCTGACATTAAAAGTATTATCTGTTTTTACGTGTTCATGGAAGTATATGTATCATACAGGGTGGGCCAATATAGGTTTATGATTGTGAGTACTCGAAACAGTTTACTCTTGTACTATTATTTGTTTATTAATTCTTATATTTTATTATTATTAACCTACTTTTGCCCACCACTATATTTACACAATCACATTTCTAATCATCTATATTGAAAAAACGTAGCAATTCATGTTAATTCCATGACTATTAATTATAACTGAAGAAAAATGTCATTGATATATTGTAAAACTGGAAGTGAATGAATTCCTTACAAAGCAGTTGGGAAATTCTTGCTTATACCAATGTGGGGTGATAATGATGGCAGGCTGTGGGAGAAAAACATATACTGCCAACATGATCCAGAACATAGCTTTCTACAGCAAGCTCACTCTCAAGTACGGCATGACAAACAAGTCAACAGTGAGAAATGGGCACAAAAATACAAAAACTAAGGTTTATAAAAGGAAGTGTGACTTGTTTTAAATTAATGACACCATTAGATACAATGAGATATATAGAGCACTAATAACTATGTACATATATAATCAGCTTCTGAGGTTTTCCTAACTGACCTAGCTCCAAATTTCCATCCCACAAGGATCAAGTTTCAAAGAACTAATCTTTTATGATGAAAACATCCATAACTGACACAGCCTTCAGAAAAGAATCGGTCTGAAAGACCTTGCTTCTCTGACTGCTATTTATACAGTTGTTTCCATCACAAACCTACCTGTGCAAGTGAAGCCATCGCCTGTGTACCCTTCCTTACAGAGGCAGCGGTAGGAGCCCATGGTATTCTTACAGTCTGCATGCTGGCTGCACATGTGGGTTCCATTGGAGCATTCATCCAGATCTGAAGGAAACAGAACATTTCTTTATGAACATGAAGTGTGTCATTGAACATCAGTAATGCACACATTAGATTTTTCTTTACAGAATTCATATAATCTCTGCAGTTCATGGGAAAATGTCTCTTATTTCCAACGCACCAGTGCACTTAATGCCATCTCCGATCCATCCGGGGCTGCAGCTGCATTTGAAGCTTCCTGCTGTGTTGGTACATACGGCGTGTCTGTCGCAATTGTGTGCTCCGATTTCACATTCATTGATGTCTGAAAAAAGAAGCAGCGGTTTAAAAAAAAAGTTTATAGCACAGATGCCTTTTGGGCCTTTTAAGTTGTAGCGATAGGAACTTAGTAACATCAAAAGTGGACTTACTTTCACACCTCCCACAGTAAAATATATATTGGTTTAACATCCACCTAAATACTCTATAAAGATTGAACAGCTTTAAATTTCAATTTATAAAAAAACAACATGATGCTACTTGCTATTATTGACTCTAATTATTTTCCATTATACTGTGTAACTGTCTAGTCACAGCAAAACATAAGGAAACATTTCCCAGTTGACCTTAAAAAGTGAGTTGCCTCATGTTCTGTGATATTAACACTCATGGTCAGGCGTTTCTATATCCAATATTTTTATTAAGTCAATCATACAGACAAAGGAATGCAATGTGTTGGCATATTGGAAATATTCTATATATTGAATATATTTTCTATATTCATATTCTATGTTTTCTCTATTCATATTCTATATATTGAATATATTTTATTCTTAAATGTAAAACACTATTATTTAATTATGCTTTATTTTTATAACAGTTTTACTTGAGGTATTGCTAATTTAAGCATTTGCAGAGAATTTTCCTTAAGGCTGTGTGTGAACCTTCTTTTCTCTAGCTTCTCAGAGTCCTAGCACGTTGGAGACCCAAGTCTTCTTGCATGGTTCATGTAAAACTCAAATCAATCCAATGGAGATGTCTCTGAAAAAGGAGTACCAGATGAGGGTCACTCTACTAAGACTCCCAATTCTTGAAAGTTCTCCATTCTCTAAATTTTCCTTTCCAAATTTAGCCAAGATAGGTTCTCTAATATAAAAATGTTACAATAAAGAATTTAAATGGGTTTTTTTCCTGTGAAATTTTAATTTATTGTAAGATTTATACATTTGGTCTTTGTCTCCATTTCTGCCACAGAGCTCCTAAAACCTTGGAACTGATGAGAGTGAGGAAGGTGTCTTTTATTACGGATAATGGGGTGACTGTAGGCAGGAGAGCTGGTTGGAAGGAGAACCATCCCTCTGATTAAAGGCTTAGAACTTTCAATCTCACTCCCCTGACTTTAGGACAAGGTATGGGGAGAGGGGTTGGAGGGTGAATCAATCCAAGGCCACTCATGCTTATGTAAAGAAGCCTCCATAAAATTCCAAAAGAACAGGATTAGAAGAACTTCCCAGTTCGTGAACACTTGGAGATTCAGCAAGAGCGTGCCCTCTAGGACAGAGTTCTACATCCCTTCCCCATGTCTTGCCCTATGAACCTCTTCCATCTGGCTATTCCCGCATTAGATCCTTGTATAACAAACTGGTAATCTAGAGAATAAACTGGTTTCCTGAGTTCTGTGAGCTTCTCTGGGAAACTAATCAAACCCAAGGAAGAGGTGTGGGAACCTCTGATTTACAGGATTTGTAGCCAATCAGTCAGAAGCACAGGTAACAAAACTAGACTTTCGATTGGCACCTGAATTGGGACAGTCTTGTAGTACTGAGCCCTTAACTTGTGGACTCTGACACTATCTACCTGAAGCCAGTGTCCAAATTTCATTGAATTATAGGACACCTTGTTAAAGAGCAGAATTGGAATTGGTACCATCATCTTATTTCCTAAAATTAATCCATTAGATAAGGAAAGCCAGGCATCTAACCTCATAATCAACTTTTTTATTAACTAAGAACTAGAGCTCATAGGTATGGATGACTCTATAGAGAAACCAGTGCCTAACACAAAATTTGGGTCAAGGAGGATAATTTTGGCCTACAAAACGTTGCAAGAATTTTCAGTGCTCGCTTGAATAGTGGCATGAATAGGAAACTGGGCAAGCAACTTATGTGTACCCTTTTGTTTACTTAAGAAGCCCAATTAAATTATTTGAAAGTGTTTGCAAACCCGCTGTTTGCCAAATATTTCATCTGAAACTCTGACATGGTCCTAGGCTCTTTGGCTTCTTCAGAACTTCTAAGAAACACAAAATAAAATAATAAAATTTCCCTACCAAGTTATTTTGCAGTGTCACTAATCATCATAAGGTGAAAACACACCTGAAAGTTCTTACAATTACAACGTATTCCATAGGTGACTTTAATGTAACATTGGCAACCACATGAACTTATTGAGTTATTAACAGGTCAAGGGAGGCACATACCAGGCAGCTTTAGACATGTGATTGGGAGCTTTAACCAACTGGATAAGTGAGCCGGGCACATTCCAAGGCCTGCCCAGGTATAATAGTCTTAAGTAGGCACAGGAATTCAAGAAAGTAAGCCTGACCTAAAGGGCCCCCAACCAGAGCCACGGGCATGTCTCTCTTCCTCAGATAATCACGCCCCTCAGAGGAGTTAATGATGCAAACCAGCGCTTCTTGCAGAGTCCTCATAATTTCCCTCCTTTATTTGTCATGATCTCTGAATTAGGTAGAAACAATGAGCTTCAATTGCCTAAGTATTGAAGCCTCCAAATGTTACAAAATCAAGAGATTTTCTAAGTGGAAAGCATTTAGAATTCTACTTTTCTGATCCTCAGTTTCCAAGAGGAAGAGACAGAGGTCCCCAAAGGCATGGGGGCTTTTGAGGGCCTCATAGCCAGTGAGGGGCAGAGCCAGGACCACCAGGAACTCACTTTCCCTGTCCACTGCTTAGTGCTCTTCCCCTTAGGCCCCGCCCCGGCTGCCTAATTGGGCTGATTTCTTCAGGCACACCCGGACTTTATTCTAAGTCCTGCTTTATGGAGTTTTCAAAACCTTGGTGAGTTTAACAGGCTCATAGAAGTCTTCACTAATCTTTTCTACTAAGTGTAATTTTCAGAGATTATCATAGCCTGTCAATCTAGTCATTCTGTAATCCTTTTCTTTTTAGTTTTCTAATGACCAAAGTTACCTTTATTTTCATATGGATTATTTTTAACTTTCCATATTTAGTGTTGCAATTTAAAAAACGACAATTTCTTTTAAAATGAGAGGCGCCCTCGCTGGTGGCTCAGTGGTTAGAGTGTCAGCCCGCACATCAAAAGTTCTCGGGTTCAATTCCCAGTCAAGGGAGCATACCTGGGTTGCAGGTTAGATCCCTGGCCTAGTGGGGGCCTGTGTAGGACCGATGATAGATGTTTCTCTTTCTCTCTCTCTCTCTCTCTCTTCCCTCCCACTTCCTCTCTCCTTTTCACTCTCTCTAGGAAGCAATGGAAAGAATACCCATGCATGAGGATTAACAACAACAACAAAATTAAAAATTAAAGGAGATTCTCCCTCCTTTTAAAATTATTAATAATATGCTAATATAAATTTCTAATTCAAGAAAAGATGTGCAATTTCACCACACATTTTCAAGGTGAAAAGAAATTATATTTGCAAGAAGCCATGTATCATGGGCTTTAGGATACGAGGAGAGAGTAACTCAGGAGCCAATATTCAATTCCCCATTTTGTGAATATCTGTATATCATCATTTCAACGTCTTACACTCTCAGTATGCGACACGTGAATTAGAAAGACTTGGTCATAATATAAAGGCATCTCTGAATAAAAAGTTACTGCATGTATGTATGTGCACACATGTGCCAACTATTATTCCTTAATCGGTTTTGTGGCAGACTTGGGCCTAAGACTGCACTCATTATAAAAACAAACAGAAGGGGAAACTGAGCCCTAAGAAAAACAAGCAAACAAAAATGCTGCATTCTCATCACAACACTCTAGTCCTCAGTAATGTGAAGGAAACATAGCGCTCGTTTGCCAAGAACATCTCTTTCTGTACAAATGTTCTCTTTCCCCCACAAGTTTGCTCCAGACAGAAAATTCCTTTTTAAGATTAAGAATAAAGCATAAGCCAAGGAAAGCAAGGAATTCAAACTTAGGGCTGACACGGCAGCCTCCGTAACCCCAGAGCTGCCTCACAGACTCAAAGGTCCTATTTGCAGGGCTCCCTGGAAGGGCAAGGGTGTGGCCTGAGCAGACCCCAGGCGCAGGCTTGGGTGTGTTCCACTGCCATTTGAACAAGGGCTGTGCTCTGAGCTGCTTGGCCGCCTCTGGCCGTCAGACAGGGAGAGGCTGTATCGCCCACACAAACACCTGCATTCCCACCATCTGGGCATCAGTCACGTGGTGAGCCTAATCCAGCAGAGCTGACACACTGTGGCATCTCCTTGGTTAGGCATTGGGGAAGAGGATGTTTGAGTGAATGGAGAGGCCAAACGTGAAGGCTACTTGGGTTTCTTCATTTGAATCCAAATTTGGAGCCAAGATAATTTAAGTGAACGCCCACCGAGTTTCCACAGGCTGACAGCCAGTGGAGAACAATTAGCAGTGATAAGAAGCTGGAAGAAAGTGGGTGCAAATTGTCACTGAGTGCTGGTGGTTTTGAAGTGTATGATTCTCTCTCATGGACCCACTGGCAACATTTCTCAGGTAGAAAGAAGCACACAGTTTGAGAAATGGCATTACCAAGAAATCCCGCTATTTTAACTCAAAACAACTGATGTTAATGGTATACCTTGCTAACTGATTGAGTGAGCACATGAGGGTGGAAGGTTCTTGCAAATTAGCTTGTGAAAGCCAGGACCCACCAAGGATGGCACCTAGCAGCAACCTACTTCCTCTCTTTTTGATTGGTTGTCTAATGACAACTAGGCAAAATGAGCAGCAGAAGCCTTGCATGGGGCCACAGAAACACTAACCCAGCAAGCTCCCTCAAGCCAGGGACAGAGAGCTGTGTTCTAGATTCAAACAAATGTACTTTCTTCCTCCATTAAATCGAACATTCTCCTCAAACCAGGATTTGGACAAAGCTTACGAAGAAAAAAGAAACCCTTAACATCTGTGTAGGCTGGGAATGTAAGTCAGTGGGTGGATTCTGAACACTGCTGAAGTGATGGGGGGGGGGGTGAGAAACATGTTTATTTGTTAAAATGGAAACAATCAGTAATGACAAGGGAGCTGAAATATTTAGACAAAGCTGTAATGGAACCCAGAGGACATTTTTCTCGTTCTCGTGAAACAAAGTTCCTCCCTATGAAATAGTACACATAGTTTTATAATTCCTTTACAGGCTCTTATTTTAAAATATATATATTATGTATATTATACATATTATGCTTGTATAGACATATATATATGATATTCATCAAAAACATAGTCCCAGGTCTGCTCTTCATTGTTATTTGTTGTGTGGCTTGCTTATCCCATTAGGCGAGAACATATCTATATTTATATTAGTTGCCTGGGACATTATAAACACTTGTGTTTGACATGGCTATCACCAAGGTAACCTGCTAGTAGTCTAAGTTGGGAGTGACACTAATTTTAAACTAAAAGCAGGCTAAAAGAGCCCTAGTTACATGAGATTAAAAACTATTTTGGCTCAGATTTTTTAAAACTTGTTTTTAAGTATACCAGACGTGCTGCCAATTCCTGTTTGTATAAGTCATTTTCAATCAGATGTGATACCCTTGGTTGTTAATCACAGTACTTACAGAGGCCCTCTTTTTCTTTCCCCCCGAATGCACCCCCTCCTTCCCTACTTCACTGCAGGGTGTTCACCCAAGGGGAATGCTTATCTGATTTCTTCAAGCTCATGAACCAATGGAAGAACTAGGAATAAAATCTGGAGTTCTTCTGCCTCACAGGAGAAGAGCATAGGCCACACTGGTATGATATCAAAGGGGCCATGAGACTGGAGTCTTCTCCCTACAGCGCTATCTGGGTTTTACGAAATTAAAATTCATCTTAGGCTATAATTTAAAAGTAGGTGGATGTTGACGCTTGGGAAGAGAGAAATTTCTTGGACTTCAAATCTATGTTTTCTGTTCACAGAATTTACTGAAATATTGCTGTTCGTACAGTAAAACTGATGTCATCTTATATGATGTACACAGCTCTTCTCACCATAGTCTCAGTATCTGTGCAAACTCACTTACCACCAAGCCTTTTAATATAAAGGGGGAAGATTTTTCTTTTTTAAAACTGACTTCAAGTGTGTGTCAGTAAATAGTAGTATAGAATTTTGCTAGACTACAAGTTATGTCTTCAATTAAAAGGCTTCTAGACACTGTCTACGTCTCATTTTACAATAACAACAGGAGCTACCATTTATTGACTGGCTACTGAATGTCAAGCACTGTGTCAAGGGCATTATATCTCACTTACCTAAAATAAAATTAACATCGCATGAAAATGTAAGCTGTCTTCATGGTGAAAGGCCTAAAATAATTGGCCTCTGCACATGGCCCTCTTAGCTAGAATTTGGAGCATACAATTCTAGAAATATCTTTTTCTTATAGCTGAAGAACATCCCATTAGATTAACTTCTCCCTTCTTAAACATCACTATTCCCTGGGGTAAATTTCAGTGAGTTCAACTGAGCCAAGCATTGGCATTAGCCTCTATTAAGAAAAATGCAATATGGAACTGTACTACCTTTCCCTTCATTACTGCCAGACCCCTCCCCCACTTATCCCAAATTCTCTATTTATACTGGAAGCTAAAAATAAAGCTTACACCATAGATGTAGTGAGCTAAGCATCATTTGTACCCCAGAGACCACATGAGGAGTTGAGATTTTAAACACTGTGCTATTAGAATGGACCCCTAGCCATGCTTCATATGAAGAGTAATATAGTGAGGATGAAAAGCATTCCAACTTCATGCTTATTTTTACAATTTGGCTAGAATCTGCCATTTTTGAACCAATAGTAATATTATTGGTGTTATTTTGTATATCTATAACTTTGAAACTTGGTATTATTGCACAGCTTAAAATGATAATATATTTGGGGGTTTTCTTGGAAAATGTTGCTATAATTTAGAAAAGGATCTGTACACTTACCATGTTGCCAATCTGAAAATATTTTAATGTTCATTCTAAGTCACAGGGGCTTGCCAAACTGGCATTTGGAATTAAAGTCTGTTATTTGTAAAGAAATTATGCAGTTACCTAATTCAAGCTCACCATGGTCTCTATTATGTTTTAAATTATGTTATATGCCATAATCTATTATATAAATAATTACTGAAAAATGTTGCTCATTATTCTACATACTTAACACATCATTGTCTCAAGTTGAAAATAACAACTAAATACTCCAAAACAAAATCACTCACAAAGAATTACCTCTTTTATTTGACATTTAATAGAATAATCTAGAAATACTGTGAAAAGATTTTCTTGGTTCCTGGGTCGATGCTCAACCACTGAGCAACCCTGGCTGGGTGTAGAAAGATTTTTCTTATTGGTATTATTGTGCTATTAGTATTAGACAACCAAAATTACAAAATGGCTTAATTAGCACTACGTAAGATTTGTTAAGGCCCAGGAATAAAGACCTATGTGGGCTAATGCCACTTAATACATCAAAAGCACACTAATTTAAGGAACTAGAAGACTGATGAGAATTGATGAAATATTTGAATTATAGGATATGCTTCTTTAAAATGTTATGACCTTAAATAAAATGTTGGCAGTGGAGGTTATTGAGAAAGGCTTGCTTTAGTACAATCACGTGCCAGTTAAAGACGGGATACGTTCTGAGAAACGCATAGTCAGGCAATTCTGTTGTTGTGCGAACACCAGAGTGCACTTACATAAACCTAGACGGTGCGACCTCCACTGTAACAGGATGTGCTGTACCGCTACCTGACTGGCTGTGCAGTAGATTTGTTCACATGAGCATCACCACAGAAACACTGAGCTATGACATTACCACAGCAACAGCATTTCCAGGTAATGGGAATTTTTCAGCTCCATTATAATCTTATGGGACCACTGTTGTACATGTGGTCTGACGACTTACACATTATATGTGGTGCACAACTGTAAAGGGATATGACTGTCTGGTAACTAGCATGTTAATTACTTTGATATAAAATGTGATTTTAATTTCATAAAAATGTGATACTTATAGTATTAGTTATAGTGGTAATTTATCCAATATGCCTTGTTTAACAAGTAAAGAAAAAACTTGCAGCTTAGATCAAAGAAGGACAGGATAAGTTAATAAAAAATATTATACAAAATGCTTTATGATGTAATTAAAATGTTAGTAGACCTAAAATTTGTATTAATCTATAATTATGGTAGCAGTCTTTTAACCACTTAATGTTTTATTGTCCGATTTAAAAAGCATACCTGTACAGCCAGTTTTTCCTTTTTTGCCTGAATATCCCATGTCACAGTGGCAGATAAATGAGCCTTTCGTGTTTTCGCAGCTTCCACTTAGGCAGATATTTGGATTCAAGTCGCATTCATTAACATCTGTAAAACATAGATATCATTAATGCATATAACCATTTATTTGATATCAGTGAGTACTTTTCCCCCTAGATAATGCAACTGTGCTAAATAAATAAGAAAGGGTGAAATACTTCCACTCAAAAAATGCATCAGATCTGTGGAGCTCAATTCACATGTCCTTTCTGCATTGCAGGCTAGCCAGCACACTGGCAATTTATCTGGGCCATAGGCAGGAGGTCAAGTAAGCAAAGAAACTGACTGACTCTAGGCTACGTATAGAGCCTGTTTATGTGACAGTCTAGAAAACTTTTCAAAACAGCATATGATGTTGCAAGATGAAACTTTATATTCAGTTTGCCTGATGCCAACGAGTTAGTTTCCATATTTTTAAAGATAGGACAGATAAACTAGTAGTCTTAGTGTAGGTAGTTACAAACTTCACTTTTCCCCCAAATTTAAAGTTATTTACTTTGTTATGACATTCACTTTCACTTCTGGGACTTCACAAATATTCAGTAAGGGTTTTCTGAAGCTATAAATGTGATACAATTTAAATATTTTCAATTTTAAATTCCTGCTTCTGGCCAAGATGGAGTAACTGGCACAGAATTTACCTTCCCACCTGAAGCAACAAAAGGACAAGATAGGCAGCAAAAGACAGTGATCTCAAAGAAAAAAAACAAACTAGATGAATTCTATGAAGCCCCAGATTACTATGTAGGGAGAGTTTTAAGTCCCTGGCATAGAGAAGGGGTGACAGATGGAACCAGGTAGTGTCCCTGGGTCAAGGAGGTGAAGCTGGAAGTCCTGAAAGGCCCAGGTCACTAGGGTTCACAGGGTAGGGCAAGGGACAGATGGAAACTGCACAGTAAGAAAGCATCCAAATACCTGCAAAGGGGCCCAGCCAAGTATTCAGATGAGTACTGATCAATGGATTCATGCAAGGAAACTACTCAAAGCTGGGGAATTACCACCCACAGGAATTAGAGGAACAATCATCAGCGTTCATGGAAGGCCTGGACTTGTGCTTCTTCCTACCAGTTTGGAATATCCCAGAATTCACAGGGGTTTGGGTAGAGTGTCCAGAAGGATCTTGCCTAGTAATGGAGCAAAATTAGCCCAAGACTAACTTTTCTTAAAAGCGTAATAGCAAGATTTTGAAAGGATCAATCTGTTTCCAAATAACTTAACGGAATTACATAATAAAGCTCAAGAATATTTCTAGGAATCCAAAAATATCTAGCACCTAGAAAGTAAAAATTTATAATGTCTGGTATCCAATAAAAAATTACCAGGCATTCCATGAAGCAGGAAAATATGAACAATAATAAAAAGTCAATTTACTGAAATGACTCAGAACTGACACAGGTGACAGAATTAGTGGAACGGGACATTAAAACAGTTATTATAACTGTATCCCATATGTTCAAAAGCTAGAGGAATGAATGAACATATCAAATAGAGACACAGAAGTATGAAAAATACCTAAATAAAACTTTAGAGATGAAAATGATGTCTGAGATAAAAAATATACTGAACAGGATTAAAGGCAGATTAGATATTGCAGAAAAGTTTAACAAATTTTAATACGTAGCAATAGAAATTCTAAAACAAATGCAATCAATTCTAGAGTTATTGCATTTTGTCAGAAATAAATTTTGCTTGCTTTTAGTTAAACATTTTAAAAGCTTAAACTCTAATTATAGCAGGAGGGCTAAGTGGACAGAAATAATGCATAGACAAAATCAACTCTATCTGGAGTTGACCAATGGTAGCTCATCCACATAACATATCTGACAAGAGCATCATATCACAGTCACAAGGAAGTTGCTTTTTGAAATGCCAGTGTTGGAATATTAGCATTATACCCCTAAATATCCTTACTTTTCATATAGGATCTATCAGCTCCCCAAACTAATCTTTATGTAATTTAACAGTACTTGTGAATAATCAGAGAAAATGGAAAATTCTGTTTCTTTGCTTACCTACACAAGTCTTCATGTCTTCAGATGCCATGAATCCATCATAACACAAGCACCTGTACTCTCCAGGTATGTTGGTGCACTGACCACCATCACAGATATTGGGGTTATCTTCACACTCATCAATGTCTGCAGAGAATAAAACCCACAATGACCTGTTGTTGATAATGGTTCTCTTAATTCAGTGACCCAAGTTGAATGGACTCAGCCCACTTGCATTAGAGAATTAGGTCTCAAATCCAAATGAAGCTTTCCATAGAACATGCTATCAGGAGAGACCCATTTTCAAGATTCCAACATACTGTTCAAGGTCAAGGTTCACATCCAATTAAAAGTCCATTATTTAATTAGCAATTTTATTTCTGATATGAATTTGTCATTCAAAAATGGCTGTGAATCCTATTTTTTCATGAAATTTAAATTCCTAAAGTCTATCATCTTCTGTTTTATTGATATGTTTAAAGTGAAAACTAGTTAATAAGCATATCTACTCAGATGTAATTTTAGTAAAAATATTTCCAACCTTTAATTTTTATAGCAAAATATATATATTTAGGGCTTTTCAGGGAGATTTTTCGAGGTCAGATAAGATATTTTTGGTCTCTACACCTAAGTTCTCTTCTTAAACCAAGCCAAAATCAGTACCTATACTACCCACCTCATTTTTCACCTCTAGGTGCCTACATGGCTCTTCTAGCCCAGGATGATACATCAAGAAGTGTAAATTAGACCAGCATTTCTTACATCCAAATCACTTGGAGAGCTTGTGAAAACAGATTACTGTGCTCCACCCCCAGGAGTTTCCGATTCAGTGGGTCTGGGTGGGGGGCCAAGATTTTTTATTTCTAAGACATGCTCAGGTGAGGCTGATGCTGCTGGTCCAGGCAACACACCCTGAAGAGCACTGAAGTCAGTCAAGAGATCAGATTCTTCAAAAGTCTGATCAATGGAGACACTATTTTAGACTGCACTTGTTGAGCATGTGCCAGATACTACACTAACTGCTGTACATACTCTTCCACATAGGCAATCTGACCCCCGTTTTATAGATGAGAAATCTTATGCTAAGGATCTTTATCAATGACACACAGCGAAAATATGTAACAAACCAAAGATCTGGACTCAGAACTATTAATTCCACAGTCCAGGCACCAAACTACTCTATAAAGGGATCTGTTATTTCCCAGGAGGCTAAAACCTACTTACCAGTACATGACCTCTGGTCAGGCATTAGTGCAAATCCCGGCTGACAGCTACATTCATAGCTACCTTCAGAGTTTGTACAGAAGGTCTCACAACCACCATTCATTATGCTGCATTCATCAATGTCTAAAAAGAATAAAAATAATGTTACCTTTTTCTGTGTTTATGATCGTGGCATGTATTTATAATTTCTAGGCATGGGTCAAGGAAAACAAACAAACAAAAAAGAACATCCTAGGGCAACTGGAAGTCACCACATTGCTTGATTCCTTCAAAAAATATGAAGTACACACCTACTATGTGCTAGAGATGTGAATCTAATGGTGAATGTGACGGACATAGGACCTACCCTCAAAATGCTGAACTGCAGCTGGAGAATTAGATGAACAATTAATTACACAATACACAGTGTGCCACATGCAACGTCGGAGAAATGCTAGGGGCTATGAGAACATATATGACAATGACCACATGGGTGAAATTCTCTGGGTCACAGATTCAGTTATAAACTTGACATTCGGTTTGACTGGCTGAAGTTCTAAACCTTTCAAGAACTTGAGTTAGAGTTCTGAGGTTGTCCTGGGCCATATTTCAAGAGAATTTTTGGGCTGATTTATGACTTTGGGTAGAAACCATGCGAGACTTGGCAGTTCCACATGATGTACACCCCAAACCAGGCAAAAACTGGCAGTTTGCACAAAGTTTCACTTTGACTTTGGGCATAATAAAGCCACAGGGTTCTCTGAGCTACTCTTTCCAGCACGACTGAACCTACAGAGGGCCAGCCACAAAGCAAAAGGCTCAGCCCCCAAAGTCCCCTCTTTAAGGAGTGCCACCCCTGGCCTCTTTCTGGGTAAGATATAGTCTTCTTTCCAATAATTATTCTTTGAAATCTCTCAGTTGATCTAAACCACCTAAGGGCAGAGATTACACCCTATGTTTTTTTGGCTTTTTCACAGCACTCACCATGCTTCATTATTTCATGGGGTTAGTAATCACGTGCTGATTTGCCTAGTTATGCATCTGTGTAAACAGAGCATGTGCTACCATTCACCGTTAAAGCAGCATGGGTCAAACTATACTTGTTAGAGCTAAAACATCCAATAGCTCTCACTTAGTTGCTCTTGAAACACACAAGGAGCTGATATCTGAACATTGTGAGCCACAAGGAAAAGAATTTTACTCACAGGGAAACAAGGAAGAGTAAGTAAAGGTAGCTAGTGATGGGAGCAGAACTCCGAGAACATGGCTTGAGCGCTTTAGAGACTAATAAAATATAAAACAATATATTGTATAGAACTTACCCACACAAAACAGCCTGTCGGGAGTTGAATGATACCCAGGGTTGCAGGCACACTGATATTTCCCTATGAGGTTCACACACCGGCCATTAGGACAGAGGTTCGCACTCAGTTCACACTCGTTGATGTCTGTGCAGAAAATAGGAATAGCAAACATCCAGCCATCAGCTTCGGACTCTGGCAGAGACGTGGGTTGAATGACTGACTACCAGTAAGTGGCCTGAAGTCTTCCTCCTTACCAATACATGCTGAGATGTTGGGGGACAGCTGATGACCAGGAGGACATTCACAGCGGTAACTTCCCTCGGTGTTCAGGCAAGCGCCTCCTCGGCACAGGAGGGGATTTCGCAGACACTCGTCAATATCTGCAAAATGGAAACGACCCGTGTTGAAGATGTTGGTGGTATCCGGCCCAGGTCCCCATGTTCACACCAGTGTACTCATCACCCCATTTCTAGGTGTCTTGGCCACCAATGGCTCACAGATTCCTTCTTGAAGAACTGCTGTGCATTTAATTCAGAAATATCTGGGAAGTGAGATATTGTATTTCCTTCCCATTGGGGGGTGGGGGGCACACATGGCCAATAGTTGACTGCACAATGTGGAAACAGAAAATCTTGGCCTCCTTGTCTCAAGGTAGGACAATTCTCCAATGCCATTCCCACTCCCAAGTCACCTGTGGAAGCCTGGTAAGGCTGAAGTCTGCTTCTCTTCTCCTTCCCTCACCTGCCTCCCTCACTTCTTTAGGCTCTTCCTGAGAGCACTCCCTCAAAATAATCTCCATCTCAGGCTTGCTTCTAGGGGCCTTGATTTAATGCAACCAGCTTAATTGATCTCCTCTTCTAGGAATACTGGGCAGAGACACTATAATGTTGAATATAGCTTATATTTGAATTGTTCTCTCTTCCCTGGGGTGTCTATTCTAGGTTTTACACTCATTTGTCTGGGACCCATAACTGGTGTCTGAGGCCACCCACCACCCTGCAGCATGAATTCCCTCAGATCTTCCACATGTCAGTCTCCCGCTGCCACAGACTGATTCCAGACTCACTGGTCAGGAGAGCAGTGCACTGGGGGAGCAGGAAGCCAGGCCATGGGCCATGAGTCCTCAAAGCTGCTTGGAATCCTTTCTTTCCTGTGCTGATCAAACAGGCACACACTTACCCATGCAGTTCTTCATCATCATGAATCCACTTTCATAGCCTTCGTCGCACTTGCATTCAAAGTCCCCTGGGGTGTTCACACACTGGCCACGGCCACAGAGGTCAGGAGATATGCGGCACTCATCAATGTCTGCACAAAAGCAGCAAGTGGCAGCAAGTGAGTATCAGGACAGCCTTCATTCTTGTGGAATAAAGATAAAGAGTCTAAAGGGTGTCCCTCCAAGGTGAGTCCCCTCACTGACCTGTGCAGTTCCGTTCTTCAGAGTCAAGAGCAAAGCCACTGTCGCACCTGCACTTAAAACTGCCAATGGTGTTTCTGCACTTGCCGTGGGTGCAGAGGCTGGGAATCATCTTGCATTCATTGATATCTTCAAGAAAAATAAAACGTGTTAAAAGTTGTGAGTAACCAATAGGTCTCAATCCCACCATGTTAAACCCAGGAGAGGAGATTGGAGGGTCTTGATATAAGGTCTTGGCAATATTCATTTTAAAGACTGTGTGATGATCCATGAGAAAAAAGACTGAGTGCACATTTCCAGTCTTTTAAACTTCTGTTTTAGAAAGCATTATCAGAGAAGTAAGGAGTGTGTTTATTTGGACTTCTAGAATCCAGCCGGAGACACACTGAACATTTAACTATTTGCTGAATGAATGGTCTAAACCACTAGTGTTTATACTTAAAGCATCTAGAAGATTATTAGAATATATTGCCCCACAACAGCCAATTGGGTGTATAGAGCAAATATTTTCATCCTTTTTCATCTCATGGCATGTATAAAGTAATTATACTAAAATTCTATAGTAAACTGAAAAAATATTTTACATTTTTGGCTGATCTGACTAAAAAAATAGGTATAATTTTATAGGTATAATTTTGATTCATTCACACCAGATGGCTATTATTGTGCTGGCTCCTGTCATTTTTTAATTTGATAATCTCAGGGAAAATAGGTTAGTGGCCCTTAGTAGTCAGATATTGTATATTTTAAGAATCCTTGAGGCACACTGGTTGAACATCACTGGTGTAGAGAAATAAGATATTCATTTATGCTTTTTGATGTGTTTTAGATATGCCCAACATACAAGAATTTAAAAGAAGACATCATTTCTACTTTAAATTATTTGGAAATAATGTATACTATTTAAAAATATTTTATCAATGTTACAGAGCCATAGAGTTTCATTAATATAAGCAGAAGAGGTTTTTTTGTATACTAGGAGATGACTTCTGTAATGTGTAATCTGAGTTTACCCTTTTAGGAACCTTTCCAGAGTAAGAGCTAAAGCTCAAGAAATACAAGTTAATTTTTGTGTAGTGTCATGAGAGACAGAATGGGCAGATTAAATCTCAAGAACATCAAGTTCTTCTGTGGCAATGGATTCCCACAGCCTTTGGAAGCAAATCACTCGAGTTTCTTTAAATTTACTTAAGAGACATTTAAGAGGGCCATCTAGAAACCGTCTTTCTAGACACAACAATTTTAAACCCCAGAGCCTCTTGGACAAAATGCTCAGTAGAAAAAAAAAGTCTACACATTTTTCTATAAAGATATTTAACTGATATTTATATACTCATTTCCCATCTGATTCAATTATGAAGCATAATAACTAGGACCAGACACAATGGGCAACCGACACAAAACTCTATACTGGGAACATAAGCTGAGCCTCCCTGAATAGTCGGAATTCTGAGTAACCAATTGTGATTTTTTCCATATGCTAAAGTAAACAAGCTCTGTTTCATTGTGCGTAAAAACTTAAATCAAATTGGAATTAGATTAAATATGCGACTTCTTGTTTTTTGCATGGATTTTAGATTATAGCATAATAAACTGAAATAATATTTGAAATATCCTGTCCCTGGAGTGTGTCTGCCACAGGAATGCGTTACACTACATTTGGACAAAGAGGATCTGCCGCTGGGTTGCTCATGCCATTCACCCTCCATTATCTATACTCAGGTGGACTGCAGAGATATGGAAGCTCAAATCAGCAGATAAAAGGTCTTCTCATATGGCTTTAGCAGATGGCATACAATTTTCCCATTTCCTTTCATTCATGTTTGGCTTTGGGTAGCATTAAAATCTACTTTAACACTTAGTAATGGCTAGATGGGTGAGGCAAGCAACCTCAGGAAATCCTGAGATATAGAAAAAAAGAAAACGCATTACAGAGTGAATGTTTGGTTACAGATCATTCAGGAAGCAAAGAATGTATGCTGAGATGATCAAGGATGACCACTCATTGTAATCCCATTGGTAGAACTCTGGGCTCATGCAAATGCAAATGCGTCCTGCTGGTCTAAAAGAAAGGGCAACCAACCACTGACACCACTGTACCTTTGAAGAAAGGTTTTCCGTTTGTAATATCTTTTGTGGCAAATCCGGGTCCTCTGGGGCAGAGCTCCTCATACTCAGGCGTGTTTCTCATGGGACACTCCTCACATTCCTCCGTACCCCAGGCCGCCCCCACAGAGCAGCAGCAGGCGTCCATGCGGTGGCGGCCGGCAATGGGCAGCGTGCACTCCTCGTCATCGTACCTCAGGAAGCAGGTTTCCATGCGGATATCTGCCAGAGAACAGAGGGAGCCTGAGGAGAGCTACTCTGTTCCCCTTTTCTGATAATTCTATGAAAGGAGCAGTATTCTAAGAAATCCTGCAATGCTCTTGGGGGTTGGTTGGGGGATGTTTTCACAGACGTGCCGGTGACCAATGCATGTTGGCCATGAGGTCTTGCCATCTCTTCTCAGGCTAAAATCAAACTACCCTCTCTATCTTTGGAGAACATCTGAGCTGGCCACAGCCCCTTTTCCTCTGATCCACTTCATTTTGGAGAGATGGAATGGTAAACTCCAAAATGAGGAAAAACAGCCAAGAAAAGCCATTCACTCCTCTTCTCAAGTATTCCTTTCACTTCAACATGTACTCATGTACACATCCTTCTGGATACATGTGGGGTACATCTAGCTCAGTGATGGCGAACCTATGACATGCGTGTCAGAGGTGACACACGAACTCATTTTTTTGGTTGATTTTTCTTTGTTAAATGGCATTTAAATATATAAAATAAATATCAAAAATATAAGTCTTTGTTTTACTATGGTTGCAATATCAAAAAATTTCTATATGTGACACGGCGCCAGAGTTAAGTTAGGGTTTTTCAAAATGCTGACACGCTGAGCTCAAAAGTTTCGCCATCACTGATCTAGCTCCAACCCAAAATTCATGGGATTATGAGGAAGAATAGAAAGAGTAGCAGACCAGAGGTCAGAAGACCTGGAATTTGGTCTGGTCCTATTCTGTGACTAAGAAGTCTGCTTGTCTTAGACAATGAGACAAATGAGATTATGCATCTGAAAATTGTAAAGTGTAATTAAAACATAAGGCATGATATTCCCTCTGTTTCCTGATACCCATAAGAGTTTCCTGCAAGGACCTGTCCTCCTGGCCAATAGGAGGACATGCCTGGCAGGTATGAGTTATAGTTTTTTAATTGAAAGTATTCTCTCCACCATTCACCTCATATCTTAGAGCCCATGACGTATTGGGGTGGATTTAAGAGCTCTGGAATAATAACTATGGTGATAATGATTGAAGGAACAGTTACATACAATCCACTTCACTAACACCTTCTCTACTCTTTTTATAAAGAATAAACAAAGAGTTTCAGTAGGGAAGGCTCTTTTTCCAAAAAACCACCATGGATCCTAACGGAAATGCTGAATTTGGGATGCGTGTACCTGTACTTGGAACTAAATATTCAGCTCTAGCTTATTAACTGAAGTGTTAATAATCTTTAAGAAATGATCACCAGAAAAGTAATAAGTTCTGTGTTACCCAGGCAGATCCTCCCGGTGGAATCCAAACTCATCCCACTGGGACACTGGCACTTAAAGGATCCCCTGGTGTTCACACATTCGCCATTTTTGCAGACTCCTGGGAACACCTCACATTCATTGATATCTATGCAGGAAAAAAAGCATGAAGTTAATATATCTGCAACATCATTCTACCTTATTCCATTCATGAAGTCATAATTAGTCTCATAAGAGAAAAGGCCATTTGAACTTGATAAGATCAGAAAATTATTTTGCTCCCAAAGAATGTAGGTAGAATTTCTGGGGTGTCTGTATAGCAACAAATAGAGCTCACCTGCTGCTAAAGATATGAGTTTCTCCATTGGTTCCAGGAGTAATTTCTGAGTTGAAGAGACAGGGAGCTGGTGTGAGGTCTTGGATGTCTCTGTGACTATCTCAGGTAAGGCTCCCAGGAACCATATAATTAGCTTTATGAGACCAGATGTTTGGAAGTAAATAGAGAAACAGAAACCTGGTCTTTCAAATTGGCAAAGAATAAAGAGCTTGAATGTGGGCATAGAAGAAAATCCTACTAAGGAATATGTGGAGCCAGTAAAAAGATTCCCTTTTGAGAAGTACTGAGGAGTTCCCAAGAGTGTATTACTAGTTCTACCTCAGCTACGGTCTCACTGTTCTGTCAAAACCTTGGTGGTCCCAGTTTGAATTGGGAAGACTCAAAAGATGCTCGTGTTCATCCATTTATCATTCACTGACTCTCAAATGTGCCTTTCTGTCCCACTTTGCTTAATGCAAAGCAGTATGTTCTCTGCACTTAATTTGGAAAAATATTCACCATCAAATTAATCCAAAGAAAGGCACTTACTTGCCAATGTCGAAAACATGGAGCATTGGTTAAGAAATTCACACACAGTGTCTCTGTTTAGAAGAAATATTTCCCAAACTAGGGATGCTAAAAAAAACATGTTCCTGATCTCTCCTTGTAAGAGAGATAAATGGGAAGGGGGACATTTACCTTTTGGGGTTCTTTTTTTTTTTGTTCTGGCCACTTGTATACAAAAATGTGCTGCTGAGGTCAGAGAAGTTATTAACAGTGGGTCTGGACCAAAGAAAGGCCAAAGAATTCAGTCATTATTTGGAAAGCAAGACCTTGGGTGGGGGTTATAGTGTTCCTCTTTATTTCAGCAGGGAAGAAATTGCACTTCATCCCACATATGGGACTAATTGCTGTTTTAAAAATTGTTCAGCTGCTGTGTCATGTCAGGTTGTGTTAGTCACCCTGACCTATGTCTATCTGGAACTCCAGGAGAAAGAATCATGGCAAACTGGAGATTAATCTATGTATATTTTCAAAAATAATGCAGCTACGTGTGTCTTACTAAATCATCTGTGATGAAACAAACAAACAACAAAAAATAGGACAAACCAAGAAAAAGGCAAATTTTACAGCCCTATTAAAAAACCTGTTTTATCTTCTTGATAAACAGCATTTTGAAAGGGCAATCAATTCAAAGTATGGTCAGCCTACATTTTCAGCCATCCTGTACTCTGGCCATAGTAGTTTGAAACTGGCAAGAGCATATATATGCTTGTGAAATTAGCATCTGTTGTGCTCTGCAGTTCTCATTATTTTATTTCTCTGTGGCATATTTCTCATTGTGCAGTTACATGACATCTTTATCCAGTCCAAGTTAACACAAGCATCCTTCAAGCACACAGAAATTTATGTTTTATAAATAATCATAAATACCTTCACATTGTGTTCCTTTTATTCTTGAAAAGCCTTTACCACATACGGGATCTGTAAAAAACAAACAAAAAAACACCACAAACAAACAAAAACAAAAAACAATTTGAGATAACAATATCCAGACTTTGTAGTTATGACCTAGTATAAGAAACACGAAAGAGGACTGGGAACATGAATTACATTTTGTTTCTATAAATAAGTCTGAGATAACAAAGTGTTTTTGAAACTGCATAAGAGAAAAAGAATAATGAAATGTATCCTTAAGTAAAGCTCAGTTCCTGTGAGATATCCAAAAAGACATCAAGGTGCCCTAAATATCATGTTATATTGATGACCAAGAAGGAAACTGACTAGATTTCTCTGTTACTATTAGCCCTAAAATAGGAATCAAACTATAGGATTACTGTAACATGAATTTTAAAACCAAAGTCTAGAACTTGAATATCTCATGCCCTGTAGCATTCATACCATGTAAATTCATGCATTTATATACCCAAACATTGAATCAACAAAATCATCAGCAAGTCTCCCAGACCTCAGCTTTGCAACAGACTTACAAATTTAGTCATGAATACTGATTTCTTTATGTTACTCAATTTTTTTTGGAAGAAAATGTGCACCTATACAAGGCTCAGAACCCCTAGTCCCAAGATTCTCCAGAGAGCCAATAGGAATTGCTGGTCTAGGAAAGCAACACCAGGTAACTGGTGATAGAAAACAATAAATTGACAAATTATCTGAAATTATTGTCTTTGATACTTCTCTTAGTTTCCTATTCAATATGTTTTATTGAAGTCATCAGAATTAAATCTTCTAAAATCCTCACGTGAGCCCAAATGCATAAAGTACTAGGTTTCCCCTTTCTAAAAGCAAAGTGACCAGTGAGATGGGTACAGGAGCCACAGCGCCCATTTCACTTACCGACTTGGCATATGGTACAGGGGCTCCCCCAGGCAGCACCAAGGGAGGAACAGCACTCAGACTTTAAGGTGGCTCCATTGATGTTGATCTCACACCGCCCATCGATGACAGTCTGCCAGCAAGTGCCCTTGATGGTTTCTGTGGGGGGTAGGGAGGGATAATATTTAATAGGTATTTCAATACTGCAGCATTGGTAAACACCAGGAAATCATTCTCAGGAAGATAAATACCTATGCAGATGGTTTTTGTTGGATCCAAAGTACTTTCAGGAGAACATTCACAGATGAAAGAGCCTTGGCTGTTTTTGCAGACTCCATTAATGCAAGGATTGGATTCACATTCATTGATATCTGAAACAAAAACAGCTCTATATCACTGCTAAACACTAGTCTTGAGCATGAATGGATATGGAAACTTTGGCCTCAATGGCTATCATAAATTCTTCATTGGATAGTAAAGCTGGCCTAAATAGATTTTTTCTAGACTAGATGGAATGCCAAAAATAATAATTAAACAAGTGTCTATAGTACAGAATATGGAGCAAATGTAAGTGTGATTTCTGAATAATGAACTCAAACAACATATATGTAATGTCTTCTGCATCTATTAAATGATAGCTAATAAAATTCCAATTGCAGGCAAATGCAAATGAATGCTTTTAAAAGGTACTTAAACTAAGAATAAAGGACAAATAATATGCCAATTGCAGGTAAGTACCACCAATAGCTTGCAAAGTGTATACAAGTGCCATTTAGGACCACAGATTCTCAACTAAAGGGGCATAATTATCTAAAATAGAAGTGACTCTAATTTATTTCCATGGCTTTCTAGTGGCAATACAAAAGAAAGCAAAGTATGTAATATAGGAACAAAACAAATATAGTTTACCTTCACAGGTTTTTAGATCAGGTTTGTATATAAATCCCTTGGGGCAGGTACAGACAAAACTTCCAGGAGTGTTCCGACATTGTCCATTGTCACAAAGTAGACTGTTCAATACACACTCATTAATATCTGGAAAACCAATGAAAACGAACTTTTAAAAGAGCCCATCCCATTCATGCAACTTCTTTGCTCTTTTAGTTGGGTTTACAAAGTCACAATGATATGATTAATTCAAACAAAGAGGCAAAACGTCTGTCCCATCGGTCTTTGCCTAAACCACCCAATTTTAGGAAAATAGGGGCTTGACCTGATTATCTGTACTTGCTATGTACAAAATATAAAGTCACCACACAGTGTTCATTCACTTCTTTCTTGAGCAGGAAGAAAATCTGGATTTACTGGCAATTACTAATCTTTATATAATTGTCTCATTGTACCAGAATTCAAAGGACTAATCTATTGATTTAAGAAACTAAATAAACATGTAGAAGGTATGGTCCGTTTTTGATATGTGTTGGTTCCAGGATGAGTGTTTCTTCTTTAGAATAATTTAAAAGGTCTCTGGTTATGTTTATCAAGTCTGAGGCAATCTGCAGAGTTTATAATTATCATGGGGAATTAGACTGGAGATTTAGAGAGCTGCGGGAAAACTCCTTGCTTTCAGCTGAATAGTTGGCCTATCTGATGCAAATTCTAACTTTTGATATGTATGACTTAGATTAGGAAGTGTAGAAATCATATGGCTTTTTAAAGTATCCCTTTGGGCTATAACATCACACAGCCCACAGAAAAAGCTACATATTCACAAGGAATTTTTTTAGACATGGAGAGGTTCTGCTTAGATCAGCATTTGACAAGCTAGTAACCCTGACATAAAGGATACAGAAATTCAGCACTGGAGAGCCACATGGGTTCACAATTCAGCAACATATTTTTAAAGTTTTTAATATGGGAAAATAGAGTGTAAAGTCATGTTATCAGCTGAGTGAACTAGCATACTGCGAATTCTGTCAAAATAACATATGGAATGCTAATACTTTCCAAAAGGGTCATATTGCAATTCTTAAACTTTGATGATGTCTAAAAACTTAAACTGAGGAATTGATGACAAACATTAAAAACTAGCCAGGCCCTGGAGTCCTGTGTGGTTAATGGCTCGAATGGACCTTTGAGTCCTAACTTCAAACTTCTGAACATAATCTGAAATCTGAAGATACTTCTGACTTGATAGCATATACAACTTTGAAGTATATACTAAAGCATTGAAGGAAGGATCCCTACAGCCTCTCAAACTCCCCTTTGCTTCCCATTGGGTGATTTCTGGATGGAGCTAAACATCCCTGTGTCTTTCTGGCCTGCCCAAATAAATAATGATTTTTTTCATGTCTGCCAATAAAGAGAGGCTCTCATAGAAAAACGAAATAGTGAAACTTGTTTTCAGTGGAATCTAGTTTAAAAGCACCATGTGTAGCCTACAAAAGGGCCCTACAATTAAGGGTGTGCGAGAGAAAGAATTCATTTCTCCAAAGTCAATGTAGACCACGAGAAGGAAGGGCCACCTTTGGGGCAGCAATAAAAGAGAGGAGGGAGAAAGAAGCCTGTAGTTCAAAGAGGAGGGTTTGGTGTGTAGCCCACCGTGACCTGCTTCCAACCTCCATGTTTTCTAGATACGGATTTTGCCTGAAACCCAGATGAAAGCTGATTTAAATGGGAGCAGATGCTCTGTTCTACTGTTAGCTCTTTTTCCATGTGTGCAGATGCCACATATTAAGAAGGCAAGCAGGTGAAAAATAAGTAAGATTTCAAAGTAAGATCTCTGCTTTTCCCAAAAGAACATGTTTCTATCTTGGCCACAATGACAATCGTCAGCAGCCCTAACAACAGAGGGATCTATTAGGTACAGCACTCTGCTTTCACCTGCAAAACTGGACAACTGGACATTGTATGAGAGGGGCAGTAAGCACGCCCGCTATGTTCCATTCTGTAAGTAGTTAAATAGAAGACAAAGTAAAAATTACTCATGAAAAACAGTGAAAGTTATAGGAAAGAAGAAGAGCATAGTAGAAGGTGTGAGAATAGGAGACCTACAAAAATAACTCAGAGATGCAGAGAGAGTGGGAGGGGGCAAAGTGATTGAAGCTTGTTTTAGAGCACCTGGAGTTAGCGCTTTCTCTCCCACCACCCCCCCCTTTCCTGTTTCTTAATTTAGATAAGAGCTATAAATAGAGTCCAGACCTTCATCATGTATTGCTGTGTAAAAGTACCTACATTGTTTTAATACTAATATCAGAGTGTCAATATAAACACAGAATTTTGTAGGAGTAGGAGCTATGAAAAAAAGAAGAAATGGCCAACTATAAAAAAGTTACATTTGAATGAAGGTCTTTGTAACAGATTAAAAGTGCTGTAGAAAACCAAAGTACCTGGGCACTAGGACAGGCACTAGGCAGGCCAGAAAGACACAGAAATAACAATTAGGCTGAATGAGCTTTGGAAAGAATCTTTATAATAACAAGAGGTCAGGGACAAGTTATGGATATTTCAGAGATGGTCAATATTAAAATAATCCTATATAGCATCTATACTAAAAAAAGGATAATATGCTAATTAGACTGGACGTCTTCCGGACAAAGCCCTAGTGGTGGGGGCTGAGGCAGAGGTGGTTAGGGGCGATCAGGCCGGCAGGGAGGGCAGTTAGGGGCAATCAGGCCAGCAGGGAAGGGCAGGTAGGAGTGATCAGGCTGGCAGGGGAGGGCAGTTGGGGGTAATCAGGTCAGCAGGGAGGGCAGTTAGGGGCAATCAGGCTGGCAGGGGAGCAGTTAGGGGGTGATCAGGCCAGCAGGGGAGGAATTAGGGGGCAATCAGGTTGGGAGGGGAGCAGTTAGGGGTGATCAGGCTGGCAGGGGAGCAGTTAGGGGACAAGCAGGCCTGCAGGCAGAGGCGGTTAGGGGAGATCAGGCCAGCAGGCAGAGGCGGTTAGGGAGGATCAGGAAGGCAGTGGAGCATTTAGGGGCATCAGGCTGGCAAGCAGAGGTGGTTAGGGGCAATCAGACAGGCAGGCAGGCGAGCAGTTAGGAGCCAGTGGTCTCAGATTGCGAGAGGGATGTCTGACTGCCAGTTTAGGTAGGATCGGATCTAAACCAGAAGTCGGCTATCCCCCAAGGGGTCCCGGATTGGAGAGGGTGCAGGCTGGGCTGAGGGATCCCCCTGTGCATGAATTTCGTGCACCAGGTCTCTAGTCCTATATAATAAAAAGCTAATATGCAAATCCACTGAACTACAGAATCACCGGTTGCTATGACGTGCACTGACCACCAAGGGGCAGATGTTCAATGCTGGAGCTACCCCCTGGTGGTCAGTGTGCTCCCACAGAGGGAGCGCCGCTCAGCTAGAAGCCGGGCTCACGGCTGGCAAGCGCAGCAGTGGTGGTGGGAGCCTCTCCTGCCTCTGTGGCAGTGCTAATGATGTCTGACTGATGGATTAGACAGGGAGTGGGCCTAAGCTGACAGTTGGACATCCTCTGAGGGCTCCCGGACTGCGAATGGGTGCAGGCTGGGCTGAGGGACCCTCCCCCCACCCCCACCCCCAGTGCACAAATTTTGTGCACTGGGCCTCTAGCAATAAATACCGTATTTGCCGGTGTATAAGACGATTTTTTGGCCCTGAAAAATATGCCTCCAACTGGGGGGTCGTCTTATACGCCAGGTACACTTCAGATAGACTGCCCATAGTGCTTGCCCCGTGCCATAGTGGCCTCCCGATGCCCGCCCACTTCATTCCACATACCGTTCAGGC